ATTGCCCAACACGAGCAACTGTTTCGTCATCTGACGGAAGGATCGATCTACAACATATCGTCAAAGATGCTCAGCACACTGAACACTTCTCTCACTACGCGCCTGACGGAGAAGTTCCCAGCTGTCTTCACACCTGGCCTGGGAAGGTGCACCAAATCGACTGCTAAACTTGTGCTGAAGCCCAATGCGAAGCCTGTGTTCCTGAAGGCTCGCCCTGTTCCATACGCTGCTATGCCGAAGATTTCGAACGAAATCGATCGCCTGGTGTCTACACACGTCCTGACGCCCATCGACCACTCAGAATGGGCAGCACCAATTGTCGCCGTTCAGAAGAAAAATGGATCGATCCGACTATGCGCAGACTACTCAACTGGACTGAACGACGCACTGGAACAGCACCAGCACCCACTTCCAACCCCAGACGACATCTTCACGAAACTCAACGGAGGACGTTACTTTTCTCAACTCGACCTTGCCGAAGCATACCTCCAGTTGGAAGTGGACGACGACTCTAAGAAGCTGCTGACAATCAATACGCACCGTGGACTATACCGTTTCAATCGACTACCGTTTGGAGTGAAGCCCGCACCTGGCATCTTTCAACAGTGCATGGACGCACTCATTGCTGGAATAGATGGAACTGCCGCCTATCTCGACGACATACTGGTCACTGGCAGCACCATCGACGAACACAACACTCGACTGGAAGCAGTGTTCAAGCGAATCCAGGACTACGGATTCCGTGTTCGACTCGACAAATGCACATTTCTGCGGACAGAAATCACCTACCTCGGGTTCGTCATCAACGCGCAAGGACGACGCCCTGATCCGGACAAGATCAAAGCCATACAGAAGATGCCCGCTCCAACAGACGTCAGCCAGCTTCGCGCTTTTCTCGGACTCATCAACTTCTACGGCAATTTCGTCAAGGATCTGCACGATCTTCGCGCTCCGCTAGACGCCCTTACGAAGAAGGATGCTGTCTACAAGTGGTCACCGGAGTGCAAAACTTCCTTCAATAAGATCAAGGCAACACTCAGCTCGGATCTCCTGCTGGACTGGCGATTTGAGGCGGGACGCGGGGGCGGCTCTAGCGCGATTCAGTGCGTAGCTGCCGATGCTTCCAACTAGCGGAAGTAGGGAGCGGACTGCTGTCCCACCGCTTCCCAAATGGATCCGAGAAGGTCGTCTACCATGCAAGCCGTTGCCTGACACCAGCACAGAAGAACTACAGCCAGATTGAGAAGGAAGCACGGCCCTCAGGTTCTGTGCGCCGTGCAGGAAGTTTCAGTCGGCGTTTGTCCTGACGGACGACAGTTTCAAGGCTAAGAGCGCACCAGCGAAGCCAGCTCGTCGTCAATCTTTGGGAAGCAAGGAAGAGGGGATAGCCAGTCTACGGGAGGTGGGCGCAAGGCCTGCTTCAGCGAGGGCGTGGGGGGCACGGATTCTACTGCAACTACGTTTCCACGATCAGAGTAGGTCGGTGCGTCAACACGAAGGATTTCGGGCAGGTGGACGCTCTCTCTCGTCTTATAGCGTCGCACTCGTCAATACCGGAAGATTACGTCATCGCCTCCGTCGACGCCGATGTCACTGCCGAGTTCACAGAAAACTGTCGACATCTTCCAGTATCTGCCGAATCCATCCGGACCGCTACGAAAGCCGATCGACTGAGCCAAGAAGTGATCGACTACACGAAATCCGGAAAATGGCCCAAAGTCAACCGCGACTCTCCTTTATGGCACTACTATAATCGCAGAGACACTCTTACGACAGTGAACGGATGTCTGCTCACCGCATCCCGCATAGTGATTCCAAGATCACTACAACATCGCGTTCTAACAGCACTCCACAAGGCTCATCCAGGACAAACGAGGATGAAAATGCTCGCAAGAAGCTACGTCTACTGGCCGACACTGGATGCCGACATCGAACGCATGGTCAGGACCTGCTCCAAATGTGCTTCAGTTGCAAAGGATCCCGTCAAGCTGAACTACATTCCTGGCCGAAACCGACTTCTCCATGGATGCGAGTGCATGCTGACTTCGCCGGACCGATGGAAGGACGATATTACCTGATACTCGTGGATGCCTATTCCAAATGGCCTGAAATTGTCCAGATGTCAACAATTTCTTCACCAGCCACGATTCAGTCAATGAAGCACATCTTCGCCCGCTTTGGAAATCCGGCTACCACTCGTCACAGAGCAAACGGCACACAGTTCACATCTTCACAGTTCATTTCGTTCTGCCGTTCGCGAGGGATCACGCACATTCGCACGCCGCCGTTTCCATCCGCAGAGCAACGGACAAGCAGAACGCTTCGTGGATACCTTCAAGCGAGGACTCGCCAAGTTGAAGGGGGAGGAACCGACAGACGACGCTCTGCAGACTTTTCTGATGGCTTACCGCTCTACGCCGTGCCCTTCTACAGCAGATCAACGATCACCTGCGGAAGCCTTCCTTGGACGCCGACTGCGGACCGAACTTGACTTGATGCTGCCACCAGAGGACGTCACTATGGGAGCACGAGACGTCAAGATGGAAACTCAGTTCAATCGTCGAAATGGAGCACGACGCCGCAGCTTCAAGGTCAACGACGCTGTTCATGTCAAGGATTATCGAGGACCAAAGCCTTCATGGATACCTGGAACCATCGTTCGTCGCGTTGGAAACACCACCTACATCGTACGCTGTGGAAGCAACTTATGGCATCGACATGCAAACCAGCTGCGACCGAGGATCAACACAACAACGACAAACGCTTCATGGAAGTGTTCGATCTACCGCTGTTCAACTCCGCGAGCAGAGACAATGTGGCGCCACCGACGACGACAGAGAGCTGCCTCGACGATCACGACGCATCCGACGACCTCAACGCCGACTCCAGCTGGACCCTCACCGGTCCCGATACGTGTTAACTTAAAGGGGGAGGTGTTGTAGGATTGCGTAATGTATTGATTTGTATGGAGATTAGAGATTATCCCATGCAATATCCCGCGCAATGTACGGAGCATTGTAATATGACTATTCTTGTGTTTTTATGTTGTCAGGTTCTCTCCGGTTCAGTTACCCAATAAAGCTCATTGTCTACTGGTGTCTTCGGCTACAACAACAATACAACAACTGGCGATCCACAACAGAAAGACAGGCGGCCAGTTGCAGGATAAAAGTTGGGATTTCCGCCCAGTTTTCGCATGTCGGTGTGGTTCACTTAGCTCGGGCGTGGGTGTGCTGCTTCATTGCTTCTGAAAACTTGACATGCCAACAAAGGACTGTTTCCTGATCTGACTAATCCGTGAATGCTGCGCGACGTGATATTGAGGTGTAAGCGGTGGTTCAGCGTTGCTCATAGTAGGCACAGTTAATTATGATAAAAAAAGGATAAAGTCTTCGCCGTTGATCAATCCCTTTGTGGGATGCGGCACGCATTCTACTTCCATTCAGAATCGTAGTGGCTTATTGAATGCGATGTGGCCTATACAATTGGCTTGCGGTGGCCAAGCCGATCGTACATAGGTCAGTGTTTTATCCCTGCCAGGACGATCTGCGGCTGCCAATTTTACGCGTGCACACCGAGGTGAGAAGGCGCTGTGTTGGCGGCTGGCGGGATGTGCGGGTCGCGCGAGATTGCGAGGACCCGGGCGCAGCCGCTCGAGTTGGTAAGCGGCCTGCCAGCTTGTCAGCACACGGACCTGCGCGGCCTCAATATGGTGAAGGGATGATAGTGTAGTCTGGCGCAGCTGTCAAGAGCAGCGGCTCATATGTCGCGACGCCTGTTCAGGCGCTGGGCAGTGCGAGATGGGGGTGGTGGTCGCATGTCTTTGCGGCGAAAGTTTCCGCAATAAAATCATAATAAGGTGATGAGGATAAAAGATTTCAATACGAGGGTGATGAGTTGTGGGTAGCGACTTTAGGCCCCAGTCTGAACGCTGACGTGCAATCGGTTGTGCCTTATTCGCTGCCGCGCGATCAGAGCCACCAATCGCATAGTGAAACGCGCGCGCGTTAGGCGGAGTACTACAACGGATGAAGAGAATCCTGCAGGCTGCACCGAGATAAGTGTAGTGGGTGGCTACTTGTCGATGGTTGCATTCCATTTTAAAGAGATGACTGAATGTCTGTTTCGCTTTGAAAAAACGTGATGCAACTACTTGGTATTAAAGCTCGTGATTATCTCCCTTGGGCAAGTCAGGCTGCGTAAGTGAGGAGCTTCGTGCAGGGCATCATCGTGGTAAGAGTGTCACTTGCCCGAGTGGCTGAGGAGGGAGAGAGGTCGGGGGCGTTTATTTGACTTGTGCGTGCCGCGGCGGAGAGTGTGGAAGGATGGTGGTTGACTTCTCGGTTTCCCTCTTGCATTGCGTAGGCTTACTGTATACCTCCCCACTTTACCGCCGCCGGCACTCGACGGGCTTGATGTGCGGGATGCAGGAGCAGAAGGCCGGAGGGAGGGGGTCGTACCAACCCCCCCCCGTCAAAAAAAAGGTGGGGAGGTCCAAAAAACTCTTAGGACTCGACCAAAATCCTCAAAACCAATGATGGGCCCTGGCTTCGTGAAAATGAAACGCTACAGATCTTTACTGCTCGTCATATAAGTCAATGATTGATATTTGATTTCTGCAAGCAAGCACGTCCTGCCGATGGAAGAAAAATTATTTGCGTACGGCCCCCATTTCCTCAGAAATTTCCCTGACCTGGTACCGCACTCTCCTGCCAGTCGACCAAGTATGACCCAGAGATCCGCCTCGCTCGGCGTGAGGGCGGGAGGATGGCCAAGCAAATGGGAGAGACCGCTGCTGGGTAAGTCAAATAGTGCCCTATGCGACCAATATCCTAGACGGATCACCTCCGTCTAGATGATCCTCTCCTCATGGTCAGGATAATATTAGTCCGTTTCCGATTGGGTTCTTTGATTTTATGATGGTATGGTTGACCACCTCCTCTCTCAGAAGTATTAAGTGCTTCTTGTCATTTTTTTTGCGAAAAAAACAATTTCGAAAAGGTCTGGAGGGAACCACTGATTTAGTGACGTGGTTCACTTCCTCACAGGGAAACAGTTCCACTAGTGCATCAGTGATGATGAAATAGGGGACCCAGATACCAATTGGGTCGATTTTTGGCCCGCATTATTACCTATATTCTTCGTCCGCCGTCTGGATAAGTGGCTGTAGTCGTACGTCTGCCGTTGAGACACAACAAATCGAGTAGTACATTGTCATCAACTATTTCAACACCACTATTGTATTCTATTCTGGACCGTTCACTGATTTTACGCTTGAAGGCGACCGAGGCGAACGCATATGTCAGAGTTCTTACGTTTTCGTACCCGCATTCCGTATTCTTCTTCCTTTCTTCTTTCGTAGTTCTGGGACTTGGGTTGCATGACCGAGCATTTTATAACACTGAACATCGTCGCTGGGGACTCACCAACAGGAGGGGGGGGGGCGTATTTGGTCGCTGGGGGAGGGGGCCGCAGTTGGGCTGGGAAATGTTTTCGATAGTTGGTTTTTCTTGCTTAAGCAGACGTTGTGAAGGGGATCGTTTGTTGGGAGGGGAGGGGTCGTGTTTGTTCGTTGTTGGGAGAGGAATTGGTCGCAATTCCCTTTTTTTGACTTTCTGAAGAAGGCTGCCTATCCTTTATCTTTTCGTGATTTTTCCTGTTTTATATGTACTAAATCCCCCTCCCCGTCCCACAGCAAAATTTTCGGGGGAAAAGTAGGAAAATCTTTGGCAAATTCCGTAAAAAGTGGTAGGAATTTAGGGAAAATCTGAGAGGAAGATGGAGTGTCTTATCCGTACTTCCCTCGCTCGCAGCTTTTCCCGTTTCACATGTGCTATTTATGATCAAACAAATCACTACCCACGAAATTTCAGACTTCCAATTTGAATAACCTTAAAAGTCAGTGATTTATCTCCTTATAATTCTCTTTCCTTAGTCGGAAAGCGGGGAAAAAGCAGGGGACATGCGCTCCTTTTCTCCTCCTTCTGATTCTTTCTTTTCCCATCATACCTTTGATTCGAGTCCATTTAGCTAAATCTCGATATTCGCTCTCAACGGTTTTAATTCAGAGCAGAGGCCGTATGCTATACTCCCCCTCGAAGGGAGATATCCCCTTCTAAACCTCCACTCCCTGCCGTTATCCCTACTGATAGCCGTCGTTTCTCTCGCTCTCGCCACTCTGCATCCATACTCTTCTGGCGCATGCTCTGTGCGAATATAGTGCAGCGCAGAGTATAATCGATATGCTCCCCTCTCCCCCAGCGAATGTCGTTGGGGGAGATTCCGCGAGAGTGGGGGAGCAAGGATGCAGAGAGGCAGAAGCAGAGAAACGAGGGGCATCGTGAGAGGGAACGCTACAGAGCGGAGATTTACTGGGGATATCTCCCCTTCGATGGGAAGTATAGCATACGGTCCCAGAAGTGGCAGAAGCTACAGGACAGATAAGCTGCCTTTTACTGGCAGTACACCAACGCTGCTTAGTAATCAATAATCAAACTCGGGAGTATCTCACGGGCAGCTCCGCAGCTGACAAAATTTCCCGATTGCAACAGTGTGAACTACTTTCGCGTAGTCGTCAATCGATATCGCGGGGGTAATGAACACTGAGCTCACTTTTTCCTAAATTCCCGCCGATCGAGGGTTGCTGGACCTGATAGCACTTTCGGTCTGTCCATTCACCACCGTCAAACCGATTACTCTCTTCGACACTATTGTTTCGCTCTGGATCACTTCCTCATGGCTTAATGTTGATCT